TATTCCTTCGGCGCGAAATGCATCCGGGGGCCCTCGTTTTTCTATACTCATATACTTGTTGTCGCATATATACTTTGACGCCTTTGTGTTTGCTTATACATACATACATACACATGCATATACATACACGTACGGTTTCTGTTTGTTTAGCCACGCGATTTTTTCTCTCGTGTATACCTACGGAGGCGTATTGTTTGCCGAGGCGGGCTCCACGCTGTCTGGGCGGTGGTGCGCGAGCGGGGGTGGGAGGATTTTTCTCAGGACTATGTTAGATCGATAGCTGATATCATCATTTTCATGCGCGCACACGCATTGTAATCACGCGGGTGTGGGCACGCTGGGATTCCGGAAAGTTATACGCTTCAGCTCGCGTTGTCGTGCCTCTCAAGTCTTTGTCATGTATTTTGGGACGGTGGAATTCTGAGGGCACTTTGATTCCACGGCAGTTTTGACCGTTTTCTTCTTCTTTTTCTTCATTGAACGCGCGGGGGGAGGTGTGTTTATAAATCACCCTCGCACGAATGCGAGAAATGGCGTGAAAAAAAAAAAAAAAAAAAAAAAAAAAAAAAAAAAAAAAAAAAAAAAAAAAAAAAAANGGGAAAAAAGGGGGGGAAAAAAAAAAAAAAAAAAAAAAAAAATGAGGGATCGCATTACCAAATGCACGTTCTTTGTTTCTTCGCTCAAATTGACCTCTCTTGTACTTGGTGAGCTATGGCCTTTCAAATTCATTATAAATTACCCTGGCGATCCTTTGAACAAACAAAATACGGTCAAATACTAATTTAGATGTCTGTCTTTTTATAGATATAGCCATTCCAACATCCAGCAAATAAGAGTTTTGCAGATTTAGTACGCGATGTGTAGGTATTTTTTTTTTTTCTAAATCACTGCAAAATAAATATTTGTACAATCACCAGTTACAGAAAAAAGGCTACACGTACAAAAAAAAGAAAATATCCACAAACCGATTAATCCATTTAGTATTACACGACTCGGCTAATCCCCAGAAATGTGCCAGAATGGGAGGGCTTGTAATCCCGGGGCAAAGGATCGTTTGGGATTACAGTGCTGGCGCGCGTTCCAATACACGCGTATACCACGTACTTACAAGGAAAAGCAAAGGGCTCACGACAAGAGTGGAGTAAGGCTCGTTTTTACTGCCAGTCTCGTGTATAATATATAGAGACCTATTGACCGCGCAGGACGAGAAAAGAGTTGGGTACATTAGAGAGAGAGAGTGCCTTTGTGCGCGTGGACTAAAGGATTCGCTAGGGTATCTTTCAGCATACACGTTTAGATGTATGTATATATTTTTTTTGTACATAATATATACACGATATTTAAGATAGGAATATTTTATGTTTCAATAATCATGTTATATCTGTAAGTTCGAACTTTTAATTGATTTAAATATTAGGCTTGTAATGAAACAATTACAGAATTTTTTTAGTTACCTTGCAGTGATTATAAGTACTTATACAGTATAAGATTCATTTCATTGGGATTGACGAAAACAACTTGTTGAAAAACACACGTTGCTATTTGTATGAGATTCATTAGATTGTAATTGACGAAAACAAATGATTGTAAAATACGTATTGCTATTTGTACGAGATTAATTTCATTTTATTTGAAAAAAATAAATAGTTAAAATATATACGTTGCTATTTGTAAATAAAAATAATTTTCAAATGATTTATTGTTAAAATACATGTTTTTCATTATGATTATCTTTTATTCATTTGCCTAATACAATACGAGTCCTTTTTTGCGAAACAGAGGCTATCAGCATGAACCTTATTTTTGCAATATACTATTGAGGGCTATTTTAGAACGCGTAGAGCTGTTGAAAACGATGTATGTGTAGTTAATTACTATTTCATTTCGGATAAAATTACCTATTGTATACATTATTTTCAGCAGCGCATATATATGCGTTTATTAGATCCCATCCGGTGTATAGTAGTATGCTATACTGTATATGAAGCTCGAGAAAATATATTGTTTATTGCATATATATATATATATATATATATATATATATATACCACTTGAAGGCACTGCTAAAGCGTCTCTCGTCGCAAGAAGCAAGAACACAACAAATCAAGACGAGCACGGTGGGAAGCATTGTACTTCTTACGACCCGACTCCCATCCTCCCGTGCCCCTTTGCATATGTATATATATATATCCACCAACGTCTCACGGCTTATTTCGAGGCTCCATGTATTCGATTGTGCGGCGCGGGCGGTAGGGATGGAAAGCGCCTCTTGCGCAACAAAGACAAAAGCCCGTTTCTCGGAGGCAACTATACGCCTTATGGTTTCCTTTGAAAAAAAAAAACTGAATCAAAATAATTTAAGCGCATAAACGCGGGAGAAGGCAATTTCCAAAGTAGCTGGAGGGGCTTTGCTTGCCGGTGGGATGAAAAAAAAACTGCGCCGTTCGCAGCCCGAGACTATATTTATGTACAGGGGCAGGAGGGGGTGTGCATCTCTCTCTCGCGCCAAGAGGAAAAATGTAATATAGGCCAGCACGCGTATACTTATATCCCCGA